GTCGCCAAGGACGCTCTCAAGAAACTGACTTACGACAATTGGCATCACAGGTTGGCTGACTTTCTTCTAGCCCATCGTACTACTCCGTGCACTGCCACGGGTAAGTGCCCGGCCAAACTCCGTTGGGGTCGTCGGCTCATGACTAAATTGGACAGGCTGCATCTGGAGCGAGTAGCTTCACAGGTGTCTCAGCCACACCCACCACGGGTCCTGCATGAGGGTGATCCTGTCTGGGCCAGGAATTATGGGCCTGGACACCTCTGGGTCCCGGCTGTGGTCTGCAAGGTCTCGTGGCCTCTGTCCTACGAGGTGTCCTTAGAAGATGGCTGCGTTCTTCGCCGCCACATTGATCAACTTCGAGTGAGGCGGGACTCACCTAGGTTTCCTCCTCTGTCTTCGCTAGGGGGGGAGGAAGAACGGGAAATGCATTCTGGGAATCAGAATCAGCAGCCAGCACTGACTGTTGAAGACGACATGGGTACGCAACACCCACATTCCGTTAGTGCTCCAAATAGGAATTCTTGGGGCAGAGGGCAAACAGACACCCCCACACTCACTCCAGCCTGGGAGTCACATCAGAGGTATCCTCACTACCCTCAATTCACCAACAATACTCCAGACAAGGAGACTAACTGGGAGCATACTAACAACTCACAATATACAAGAGAGCAGGCACACCGGGGTGGAGACACACCCTTTTCAGAAATAGCTCACAGAAGGATGTCCCCACGCATTAGAGCTAACAGGGAGGTATCCTTGGACCCTATCACTACAGAAAGGAGCCAGGAAAATTACACACCTTCAGGGAACACTGAAACGAGCTCAGAGGGCTCAGGAAACTCCCCAAGAGGTAGGTCAACCAGGTATAGTGAACAGCAGAGTCCTGACTTCCTGAGCCTAGGAGGCGGGCAGGGAAGCCAGGCAGCAGTCACTAGACAACCACAGGGTAATTCACCTAGTGTGGAAAGCAATGGGGAAAACAATGCAAGTTCTCCAGGTCCGAGAAGGTCGCTATGGGTAAAAGGCCCTCCTAAATACCTTGCAGATTACGTGAGGTGAGCAAGAGTTTAGGAACCTGAACATGAGGTCCAGACTGATTAGCTCTTTGGGAAACTGGGTTGGGGGCATTGGTTCTCAGAAAAGACAGAACGGACCCATACCTCTGACACTATGTACATTTATTGTAACAGTACGTGAACAAAGGATTCACCAAAGGTGGCGTCCATGTTGGGCGCAGCATTACTTTATCTAGGGGGGAGGGGTGTTGTGTCCTGAGCCTGCAAAAGCAGGCTCGGGACGATGCAAGAGTCCCGGGCATTTGCAAAAGCTGCCCGGGACCAGACTGAGCGGCGCTGGCCTTGCGCGCATGCGCAAGGCGGGAAAAGACTACCTGTGATTGGTTGAAATTGCCCGGGGATCAGAGGGTATAAATAGAGGCCTGCGTGCCTCTGCTCGGGTTGTTCGTTGACTGTAGTCAGAGAATAAAGACATGTTAGAAATGCATTGCTTCAAGCGCCATTATTCTCCGGACTTAACAGGTACCACTTTGGTGGGAAAGTAACAGCATTCCGTGTGCCTTTGGCATATAGCCATGCTGGCCACATGACCACAGAAAATGCCTTTGGACTATGCTGGCTCTCTCGGCCAAGAAACAAAGATGAGCACCGTGCCCCAGAGTTGGACACAACTGACAAGGAAAATTTTACCTTTACTTTTGGTTAGTGTATTAGTTCAAAAATGCAAAATACCTGTGATATTGAATTCCTGAGGAAATACATCCTGCAGCTTCTCTTTCAAGAGGTCCAAGGCCACCAGCCTATAATGAGCAGCTTTCACATGCGACCGAGTTTTTCCTACAGGTTGTTTGAAAGACACTAGGATATCTGAAGGGCGTACTGTCTCTTTCCTTAGTTTTTCTTCTAACCTGGTGAATCAGAAAATACCTATATCAAGACTGCAGAATAAAAGCTTTTCCTCCCACAAGGTGTGTGTTACAATGACCCAGTCAGAGATGCTAACTTGAGAGGCAGAGACTGCCTGATGTTATCTAATGAAATCTAGGGATGAACTACGGGGGCTTCATAATCCTAATCTAATACTTTACATTTCTTCATGTCATCATTCGCCCTTTGATTTCTTCCTGTTGCCTAAAATGGATTTGATTATGCAAGGATTCTGTGCCTCTAATGAGGGGCAGGCATGCCTGTTTGAAGTGGGTCAGAGAGCATTCCAGAAATTGCTGAGTCTAGAGATAATGCTCTCTCCCACTATCCTTGACCGTTTAAGCCATATCCTGTTTTTTGCTTTGCTCAGTAGCCGATTCCCTATTTTTATCTCTTGGTCAATGTTCAACTGTCTGGTATTTTTCCATACTATTAGGAATGCTGAAATCACAATGTTTAACATATTACCATATATGGGATCCAGAGGGGTCAGGAAATGCATACGTTGTATGAACTATATATGTGCTCTCTGAACACCCCTCAGGGTTCAGATCTTTTTGCTTTATGTAGCCCTCTGAACCTGCGCAAATAAACTTTCCTTCCTCAAAGAGCTGGCTTAAGTCCTTTCATTCCACAAATGTTTCCTGGCACCCGCAGATGGGACTTTTGAGCGAGGCGATGTTTCGCTGAGGGCGGCTTGACCCCTCGGACCTGAAGGGAAGCCACTCCTGAAATATTCTCCAGGCGCCATGGGGGAATCCCCTCTGGGAGACAGAAGTGACTTCTCTGCGGAGCCGACGGTGCTGACAGCCAGTCCAAGAACCCTTGGGGGAAGGAAAGGAGGTCTGAACCAACTCCTGGCCAGGATGTGTGTGTGTGAAGACGCCTCAGGCAAGTATGTATTAAACTGGGAAAGTACCTATCTCACTTGAAGATAGAAGAGGGGGATTGATCGCCCCCCCGGACTCGGGACGTCGTTCCTAAAGAAGTCTGTGTTAGGGTGTGTGTGGGAGGTTAAGCCATCTGCTGCTGCAGTTCCTATAGGTGACTGTCGAGCTTCCAGCACCATAGGTCAGTGGCGTTGGCAGTGTTATTGTCAGAATGGGGGGGGGGAAAGTAGTGTGCCTAGCACACCACTTCAATGTATGTTAAAAGGTTTTGATCAATATTTTAATCACACCAAATATAAAGTGCCATACCCCCCAGTTTCCAAGGATAGGCTGCGTTTCCTGTGCGAAGATTGGTGGCCTCATTTAGATGTAGGCTGGCCCCCTGAGGGAACATTTAATACTCAGATTATTGATGATTTAACTTCGCTGATTGCAGCCAATGAAGAGAATTATCCAAACCAATTTCAGTATATAGATCAGTGGGGGGATGCAGTAGCAGAAAGGGCAGACGATCTGCTGCAATGCCAGGCAGAAATGGTGCATTTGTGTGTAATTAGACCAAAAGGAAAAAAGTTGAAAGTGGTGGCAAAAAGATATAAGGATGTGAAGATTGTAGAAACAAAGCTGTCTGACTTGAAGAAAGAGGTTCTGGTAGAAGAAGAGGAAGTGGTGCTCCGACCCCCTCCATATGTGCCACAGCCGCATCCCCCACCCCAGCCTATGGTAACACCCCCACTGCTCCAGCCTGTGGCAGGGGCCGTGGCTCGGCCAGATAGCGTGCAAACAGTGGCTCTGCAAGGAGGGGATTGGATTGGCAGGGACAGGATGGACAGATTGACGGGGACCAGGCTCGGGCTTAGAGGAGACCCCCCCTGAGCCTTTGGTTACTATGAATGTAGGGGGTCGGCAGACAACTTTTCTGGTGGATACTGGTGCAGGGAGGTCAGTTGTGAATAGCCAGGTTGCTATACCAGGTCCCCACTGCATACAAGTTCAAGGTGTGACAGGACAAGTATTGGGACGCCAAGTGCTTCAGCCAGTAACATGTGTGTTTAAAGGTTCAAAAATTCAGCATGAATTTTTATACATGCCTGAATGCCCGATACCTTTGCTGGGCAGGGATCTACTCAGCAAATTAGGGGCAACTATTTCCTTTGACGAGGGCCAACAAAGGATTCAAGTGAAACATCAGCCTGAGACTATGTGGAGGTTAATGGTTGTGAGATCAGTAGAGGATGAGTTACAGGAGGAGAAGTGGAAGGAATTTGGAGTACCAGGGCTGTGGGCAGAAGATAACCCCCCAGGCTTTGCCGCCCACCACCCACCGGTAATTGTGGAGACAAAACCATTGGCCATGCCCGTGCATATTCGCCAGCGGTCATGTTCCAATGATGCTATAGTTGCAATATATGAGAGTATTCAAAGGTATTTGGAGGCAGGGATTTTGGTGCCTATCCAGTCACCTTGGAATACCCCCATATTGCCCATCAGAAAGCCAGATGGGTCCTACCGCCCGGTCCAGGATTTACGTGTCATCAATTCCATGACAGTGACCATTCACCCCGTTGTGCCCAACCCATATACTTTGTTGAGCCTGATTCCACCTAGAGCAGCGTGGTTTTCTGTGATAGATTTGAAGGATGCGTTTTTTACAATCCCCGTTCATGAGATGAGCCAACCTTTGTTTGCCTTTGAGTGGGAGAACCCAAGGACTGGATTGAAATCACAATATACTTGGACAAGGCTGCCACAGGGATTTAAACATTCACCCACCCTGTTTGGTACTGCTTTAGGGAAGGATTTACAGCATTTTGTGTCCCGGCAAAGGGGGGACACCCTTTTGCAATATGTGGATGATGTGTTGGTGACAGGTCAGACAGAGGACACTTGTTGGGAAAATACAGCTTCTTTATTGGGATTGTTATTACAATGTGGCTATAGGGTATCTAGGAAGAAGGCTCAATTGGTGAAACAGAAGGTGCGCTATTTAGGGTATGACATTGAGCATGGACATAGAGCTCTGGGGTGGGAGAGAAAGCAAGCAGTATTGGCTATAGCTGAGCCCACAAACCGGAGACAATTATGAGGTTTTTTGGGTTTGGCTGGCTTTTGTTGGATATGGATTCCAAATTATGTTTTAATGGCGGCCCCTCTATATTCAGCCACAAAGGGGGGTGAGCATGAGTTGTTTTGCTGGGAGGGGGAACAGAAAAAGGCTTTTAGGGATGTTAAGCTAGCGCTCACATCAGCTCCGGCTTTAGCCTTACCAAATCTGGAAAAAGCTTTTGATCTATATGTGGATACCAGAGATAATGTAGCCTTGGGGGTATTGACTCAACAGTTGGGCCAGTGGCAATAGCCAGTAGCGTATCTGTCTAAACAATTAGATGGTGTGGCTCAGGGGTGGCCACATTGCTTGAAGGTCCTTGCTGCTATAGCAGTCCTGTTGCAGGACTGTAATAAATTGACCTTCTCATGTCCTGTGAATGTGCACACTCCCCATGCAGTGCAGGCCATATTGGATAATAAAGGGCATCTATGGATAAGCAATCAAAGGCTTTTCAAATATCAAGCACTGATGATTGAAAATCCACAAGTCAAACTGATTGTCTCAAATCGACTAAACCCAGCCACCTTGTTGCCAGGAGACATAGACATAGAACATGATTGCTTGCAAGTGTTGGAGAGTGTTTACTCTAGCAGGCCTGACTTGTCTGACATCCCTCTTCAGGCGGCTCAGCTCAATTGGTATACAGATGGTTCCAGCTATATGCATGAAGGACAAAGAGTTTCTGGCTATGCTATTGTAGATGATGATAAGGTTGTGGAGAGTGGGCCTCTGGGCCCTGAACACAGTGCTCAGGTGGCTGAATTGTGGGCATTAATTAGAGCATTAGAAAGAGCTGTGGGTGAGACTTTGAATGTGTGGACAGATAGTAAATATGCTTTCCTGACACTACATGCACATGGAGCTGTTTACGAAGAAAGGGGATTTCGAGATTCAGCAGGCAAATATGTACAACATGAACACCTCATTCAGCACCTCCTTAATGCAGTACAGATGCCAGCTAAAGTTGCAGTTATGCATTGTAAAGGACACCAGAGGGGAGTAGATAGGGTGGCCCAAGGGAATAGGAGAGCCGATTTGGAAGCTAGGAATGCTGCTAAAAGAGGAAAATCTACCATAGATCTTTCCATACATGTGGCCATGGATCTGGGAGTCCTGCCCCCTACCATCCAGCCAACGTATTCCCAGCAAGAATGTGTAAAGGCAGTCACAGATCTTAAGGCTACTATCAAGGATGGGTGGTACTTGTTACCTGATGGGCGCATCTTTGTTCCACAGTCCTCAGCTTGGGCTCTGGTTCAATTTTCTCATGATGCTACCCATATGGGTAAAACAGGGCTGGAAGAGGCATTAGGGTGGGAATATTACATCAATGGGATAGCTGGCATGGCAGCTCGGGTTGTGTCCCAATGTGCTACCTGTGCCAAGGTCAATCCTCGACAAGGGCCCCTTTTGCCACCAGGAACTATACCCTCATCGTATTTTCCTATGGATTCTGTAATGGTTGATTTCACTGATATGCCTAGATGTGGCTTGTACAAAGCCCTATTGGTTTTTGTGGACAGGTATACAGGTTGGCCGGAGGCCTTCCCCACTAAAACAAAACAGGCAAGGGAAGTAGCTAGAGTTTTGTTGAAGGAACTGATCCCGCGGTTTGGAAGCCCATCTCTTATTTCGTCAGATAATGGGCCTGAATTTATACATCAGATTAATCAAGCTGTGGCCCAGTCAGTAGGGTCCAAGTGGCAGTTCCACAGTGCTTTTCATCCTCAGTCAGGTGGTCCGGCTGAGAGAATGAACCGCACCCTAAAGGAGAAAATTACTAAGATCTGGGACATAAGGGAGGAGTGTGGGCTCTGGAAATGGTACAGGAGCTGAACAGACAAGTGGAGAAACTTAGAAACTATGTTATTGAGCAATCAGCACCTAGGTTGGTGACCAGATGTCACTCCTTTAAACCAGGGGATAAGGTGTGGGTTAAACATTGAAAGAAAGAGCAGCTGGAGTGTCGATGGAAAGGGCCGTACGAAGTGATATTGGCCTCCCCTCTTGCTATTAAAATTGCAGATCTTTTTGCTTTATGTAGCCCTCTGAACCTGCGCAAATAAACCTTCCTTCCTCAAAGAGCTGGCTTAAGTCCTTTCATTCCACAACATGTTGGTATTTTTATTCCAACTGTGTGCTGCCAAATCAATGTGATACCGTGGGATTCACAATCGCAATGAACAATAAAAATATCCACAATACAAAAGCTGTAGCAAAACATGCACAGTAAAGATACGGAATAAAAACAGGAATAGCTGGAATACTTAAATCAGTTTGTAACTGGCGGAAATAGCCATGTTTTCTAAATGAAACAAAATGGCACATTGCCTGAATTTTTGTCTGAACTTTCACACGGAGAAGTCATCTAGTAAACAGCGCAGCAAATCTTCATCAAATAGAGTAGATGGGAAAAGGGCAAAATAAACCTGGCTTCTGGAACTTTTGTGCAAATCTTACCAGTTCTGGGTATATTCATAGGCAGCATCTACTAATTTCTTGGCTTCTTCCACATTCTGCAGAAGGAATCGGGTTTCCAGTTTCTTTGCAATGTCTAAAAGAGACACTTGGTTTGGGTTTTGTTGAAGGAGACACTTTAATCAAATCCCACAAAAACAAACTAATGAGAATATAGCTTCGCTAACCTGGTCCATAACCTGAATTCTAAGTTACTAAACCACACAACTGAGAGATGAAATCCACGGGTCTTAGAGCCAGCAAGGTTCAGAAATACTGCCTTAGGGATATTTGGCAGACTTCTGAGTGTCCATCAAGAAAGGAAATGCAGACTGAATTTCTGCATTGGTTCAAACATTAGCAAATTATCCTTAAATGATCGTGTTTTTTCCTGCTGCAGTGAGTTGATCACATAGAGGCAATCAAAACACATTTGTTCCTGCAGCTTGTTCTTAAATGATGGGAAAAAAAGTATTTTTACAAAAAATGCGGACACAGGCAGACCTCTACAGACATTCCAACTCTACTTTAAAAAGCGTTTCTAAAGTGAAATACCTTACCTTGTAAAGAAAGGTTATCTGCCTCTTGAGGCTTTACTGCTATTAGAATACCCAGAAGAACGAAGACCAGCCTCAGCCCTTGAAGAAAGCATAGGTTTGATGTGAGGTACTTGCAAATCGTTTGGGAAAGTAATCTTTAACTGTCATATTGAATTTTAATATAAATTTGGAATGTCAGAAGCTGGTTACTCTAGATCCACAAACTTGGACAGGACAGTGTGTGTGTATAAAAATACTTGCCCTAGATCTGCAATCTTCTTTCCTTTCACCATTCTAGGGCTACTACAATTGGGCAGGAAAAATCTGGATCATCCATAGGTGGATCATCCGCAAATAGGGCGGTCAC